TTGAGCTGGGTAAAACTACATACGGATACTTTAACCTTTTCATGCATCAAAAATGAGAACCGGTAACCTGATAACATGATAAGCTGTCCACTGCAGTGACCGTTGTCCTCGAAAGGGTTAAACTTTTCTTGTGCTGTGTGATGACACATGAAGCACAGGGGCATTGACGCCTAGCCAGAATGCTAAAGTAAATCAAATCACAGCAGTTACAAAGAGGACCTCTCCAGCTCACGCGTCGGCCTTATCGACGGCAGTTTTGAGCTGGGTAAAACTACATACGGACACTTTAACCTTTTCATGCACCAAAAATGAGAACCGGTAACCTGATAACATGATAAGCTGTCCACTGTAGTCACCGCTGTGCCCGTAAGGGTTACATTTTGTTGTGCTGTGTGGTGACACGCGAACCACAGGGGCATAGAGGTGTAGCCAGATGGCGAAAGTAAATCAAATAACAGCAGTTACAAAGAAAAATCAATGCCTCCGTTCCATCTCGACTGCATTACTTTTATTTTGGAGTCAGCCAGTCCACCCCTTGAAATGTATCTGCTTGGAATCATGGGCCCCATGTTTGGCTACATGATGGGATCCTTCCTCGCCAAGATCTACGTGGACGTTGGATTCGTAAATTTAGGTGCGCAGTAACAGTCACCCCGTTGCCTTTTTAAACCATTGTGATGGGTTCGCTTGTCTGTGAAATAACTCCTTATCAGTAAGAGATATTGTACCATGGTCAACATGGAGGCTCAAAAACCAGTGAGCCTTTCCTAACTTTGCCTTCTCGAAACGCTTCCCATTCCTAGATAGCGTGACCATCAACTACAAGGATTCTCGCTGGGTTGGGGCCTGGTGGCTGGGTTTCATCGCGACCGGCACTATTATCTTGCTCTCCAGTATCCCCTTCTGGTTCCTACCCAAGTCTCTACCCAAGCAGGGGAAGGAGAAGGACCAGAATAAAAGTCTGGAGCTCGCCACAGAGGCAGAGCAGGATAATTTCCTCCCGGACCAGGAACACGAAGAGAAAGAAGCGACATTCCAGGAGATGGCGAAAGGTACCACGCGGTCTTACAAAAGACACGGCCCGTGTGCCAAGTTTAAAGAGCAAATCTGATAGATTTTGGGGATTCGTATGTTCAATTATTAACTGATAGAATTCATGGACTTGTTGAAGTAACTCGCCAATATGCCATCTGGGCAAAAGTTGAATGACCTTCAAAATTAAACCAGAGTCCAGACACTTAGCCTCAGTTTGGGAGTTATCTAACAGCTTTAGGGACTCCAAAACGATGCAGCGACCACAATCGCCTTGGGATGTACATTGCAATAAAATCAACTGGAATATTGCAAAAAAAAAAAAAAGGTGAATATGGGATGTTTTCTTGTTTTCAGATTTTATTCCATCTCTGAAGAGACTCTTCAGGAACAGCATTTACTCGCTGATGATCCTCACCTACTTGGTGGCCGTCAACGGCTTCATGGGCATGATCACCTTCAAGCCCAAGTTCTTGGAGCAAATCTACGGCCAGTCGGCTTCCAAGGCCATTTTCCTCATAGGTACTGAGGATGCAAACCTCATGGGAACAATGATGTTATTGAAGGGAAGTGTGATTGTGTTTCTCAGTAGCAGTGCTTCTTTGGGGTCATTGTTACAGTGGAGAGAAATTTTATGTACATATTTAACCCTTCCAGGGACAGCGGTTACTTCAGTAGAGAGGCTTTCATGTTATCAGGCTACAGGGTGCATGAAAAGGGTTAAAGCGCTAAAATCCGTTCATTTCCGCAGGTATACTCAATTTGCCAGCGGTGGCCTTGGGGATCATAACTGGAGGTTTTGTTCTGAAGCGTTTCAAACTGGGCGTGATCGGGGCGGCCAGGGTGTCCATAACGGCGTCACTTTGCGCCTTTTGCCTGCTGGTCGTGCAGGTCTTCCTTCATTGCGAGAGTGCAGAAGTGGCTGGTCTCACCGTCACATATCAAGGGTGAGTGACCAGTACTGCACAGACTGTACCATCAGTAATTTCGGAGACGTGGCATTTAAGTCAGTAGGTCCCAACCTTGATTGAGTCAAGACACATAGTTGACACAAGGAAAACCTCGTGACAAAGCCCCAAACAGAAATGTCAGAAAAACCCCCCGAAAAAAACATTCTGGTTTTATCCAAATGAACAAACAAAATATAAATCCATAATCATGCCCAAAGATGTACCTAATAAAACTGATCTAAAGCTGTTGCTTTCTGTAGGCGTAAAAAGCAGGATGACAACAATTGACATTCAATAATTTTCAAAAACTAAGTTGTGCTAAACTACAGTCCAGCATATTACTTCCTTTTTTATTCTTCTTGTTTCAAACTAAATAAGTGTGTCGTCTAGTGGCCGATGGTGGAATTACAACCGATGTACAGTCATTAAAAGCTAAACCAAAATATAATTAACAACTATAATCTTGAACTCCTGATAGAAAGGGGATTACTTTATTCTGTATTTGTGAATGGCAAACATACTTTAAACTGCTGTCATCTGCATCCAAAAAAAACAAAAAACAAATCTGACATCTGTGTTGTACCAGAATCCCGGACATTTCCTACGAGCCACAGACATTGTTCTCACAATGCAACGCCGGCTGTTCCTGCTCAATGAAACAGTGGGATCCAGTGTGCGCTTACAATGGAATGACGTATGCCTCTCCATGTCTGGCTGGGTGTCAGACCTCCACAGGCACTGGGAAGGAGATGGTAGGAGAAAAAAAAGGGTTGCCATAACAACACCCAACATCAGTTTACACCCCTTTTCCCCTCCCCCTGCATCTGTAGGTGTTCCATAACTGCTCCTGTATTACCGAAATGATCAGTCCGAGCCAAAATACGTCAGCAGTGCTGGGCCAGTGCTCCAGGAAGAGCAACTGTGACCGGGTCTTCAAAATCTACATGGCTCTGTCCGTGGTGGGCTCCTTCATATCAGCGTGCGGAGGCACCCCGGGCTACATCGTACTCCTCAGGTCCATACAACAAGACTTGAAGGCTCTGGCTTTAGGAATGCAGACGCTGATCGTAAGAACTCTGGGTGAGTCATCGGCAGAGGTGGCAAAACTACTCGCAGTCTGCATTTAAGTCACTCGAACCTCGATTCGATGGCCCTAGGATCAGTAGAGGGCGGATTCAACTGACAGAAATAGCGTTCAGTACCTTTTCAAAGTCTCGTCATGGGTTTCTGTTTTGTGCTACTTTTGTCATCAATAAACAGACAAACAGGCAAAAACAACATAGCAACGTGACGGCCATGTTAGCGACTTTCCCATCTTCTATAAGGGAGACAGACGTATGGAACGCATAGCCATTAGCTTAGCATCATATTCAGTCATATTTACCTTTTCATACGTCTGTCTTTTTACATTTGTTCTGTCGTCCTCCATGAAAGTTGGAAAGTCTTATTTTGACAAAATGTGGGGTAGAAAATACAGATACCCATTTTCAAATGTAAGTCCAGTTCACAAGCGGTTGATTGAGCTCTGCCGGATACCAAAAATCCCAGAATCTCACCCATAAAGGTTTGTAATTGCCTATAAACGCCACAAAATAGCGCCAAAGCACTATTTCTATTCGACAAGACTATGGCCTAAGCACAAAAACTGGGAAAAGTTTACTTTTTCAGTGAATAACAGAGAATTGGTTCCCTAATAACATCTGTGAATATCTTACAGGTGGGATACCTCCTCCGATATATTTCGGGGCCCTGATTGACCGGACCTGTTTGAAGTGGGGTACCAAGCAGTGTGGGGGCCGCGGCGCGTGTCGACTTTATGATGCCGATGCGTTCAGGTACAGTAACATTTCGACGCAAATCAAAATGGATGCGGCGTTTGATAATTAACTGTACAAATACATTCCAGGTGGACATTCATGGGGTTGATCACCGGTCTGTACTTCTTGTCGAACATGATGTGGGGAGGTCTGTATCGCAAACTTGTCCAGAGGCAGAAGAAGTTAGCATTGAGGGAGCAAGCCAAAGAAAAAGGACTCGAGGAGAATGGAGTGAATGGACACGCTAATATCAATATAGCCCAAAATAAAGACAACACAGACAAGGAAAGTACCATTTAACAAATGCCCCAAAGGGTATTTTCGGATCCTCTTATCTGTTATTCGCTGAAAAAAAAAGCATTCACAATGCTGCTTTGGCGCCATCTTTTGGCATATCGGTCGTAGTTTTTAGCCGCCCTCTTGTGGCATCTATCTGCTATTACAAGGCAGTATCAACCTTTTTCGAGGGGCTGCTGTTACTTCACTGAACTACTTTAAGTCAAAGGGGACTAAGTAACTCTAACAAGAGCTTCTTTTTATGTTTTGTGTTTTGTATTGAAAAGGATTGTACCGGGGAAACGAGCAAAGTGGTTAAATATAACAAAATGGGGAAGTGCGAGCGATCAAAATTGCGTCATACCATTCAGTTACAGCTTCTGACTTTCTGTGTGTCCTTGCGCACAGAACTGTTACATCACATCATTATACAGGCCCGAGTGAGTCAATACTTCTGGAACAGTTTGATCATCACCGAGCATTTATGTAGCCTCATTGATCATCTCGAATATATATCTTGAGTCAAGTGTATTTGTATAGTGATATCCCTTCATGTTTTGTACGATTGTATGAATTGTTTCACTGTTTTTTCCACATTGTTTTTAATTTCATCATAAACGTACTGGCCCACGAAATGAGACGCGCCATCAAACTTTGGCACATTTTGTTTGTTTTGGCTTTGTCTTCTTATTTTACTTCATTGTAATTTGTTAATGGCCAGAGTGACTCACTTTATTGGTTTACAGGAGTGTCGAGACGACAAGTTATTGTGCTTTTGAATATTTGCAGTGCCACATTCCACCAGCAGTGGGGGCACTAAACCTAAATATCTTCACCTCTTCTTTCAAGACTCAATGCTTTGGTACTGTCAATAGAACTCAAATTTAAAGATATAAACAGATTTAAGTGAGTAAATACCCAATATGACTTTTTTTAATGAGTATTTTAGAAGAGCGTTACGTGTGTCAACTTTACTTTCTTGTGTGAAAGCGCTGAGGAATGTGAAAATTCTTAATCCTAATCTTGGGATTTTTGGAAGCCAAAGCAGATTTTGTGGTTGCTAGTCAATGAAGGGTCACGGGCGGATCGGGAAACAATGAAAGAGTAAAAATGAAGGATCATACAAACACACGTAGGAGGTTACATCCAAACCATTAGGAACAGAAGTCATCGAGAGATCACAAGCGCAAGATCTGCACCTATAAAAATGAACTCTCCTGCTAAAATGAATAGTATGGAGGCGTCAAAAAAAAAAGGGTAAATGATGTGTCAGTGGATTTACAGTATTCAAGTTATTACTCATCTTAAACTGAAATCCCAGTGCAGTATAAAAATAGAGAAGTTATTGCACAAAAGGGCCTGGTCTGAAATTCCTTATAATCAGGATGCTCCACCTCTCCTCACTTGTTGCTCTGCCCTCCTGGAGGCACTTGCATGCATACGGAATAAAAATGTGCACGGCCTTTTGTCCCGCGCCACAAGCTGCAGGATAGCAAGTCTGGCTCAGCAGGTCTGTTTTTTTTTGTTTTTTTTTTTCACCCCGCGATGGCCGGTGGCCTCGACAGGAGGGAAGAGTCCCCCGAGACGGGCCTGAGGATGCACTAGGTACTGGATTCCACTTGTTCATTTGTTCATTTATTTCTATACATGCCATTTTTATGACCGATAAGTTAATGTGACATGTTCAGATTTGGATGAATTTGATTAATAGCAGTGGAAAAACAAACACGTGTTGATTAGTGGATTGATTTTTATGGGCTCAGTTTTAGAAAAAAAAAAAGTCATGTCAAATTTCAGTGAGATACTCAGAGAAACACCTGTGGTGTTGACGGAGATGTCGCAGTGGTTTTTCAGGTTATTCCGTAAAATGAAATCAACATGAGGGATGGCTCCTGCTACTGTACAGGACCAATCAAACATTTGGAAACACCCTCTGATTCGGTATTAATCACACTAAAATATGTTTTATATATATTTTTTAAAAGTAGGTACCTTTTGCCCAGATGACAGCTTTGGAAATATTTGTATTTTCTCTGTCAGTTTGATGATGTGGATGATGATTTGTGACCCGGAATGAGCGGATGGTTCCTATATGTATATGAAGTTCCTATAGTGAAGTATGGAGCAAGGCTATTTGAGCAAGACGGAAGGTGATGGAGCGCTTGGTCGAGCGATGTGGCCAATCCCCTGATCTAAACCCAGTTGAAATGGTCGGGGGAAGAGTTGAACGGCAGAGTGAAATCAAAGTAGCCAACGTGTGCTTAGTACATCTGGGAACTCCTTAAAGACTGTTGGAGAACCATTTCAAGTGGTTTCCTCATGGAAGGGATTGAGAGGACGCTAATTAGTTTGCAAAGCTGTAATCAAAGCAAAAGATGCCTACTTTGCAAGTTCTGAAATGTAAAACATGTTGGTTTGAAGAACATTTGTAAGTTTAGTAAATTATTCCTTAGCTAATTAGCTAGCTAGCTATCAACTAGCTAGTTAGCTAGCTACACAGCTATCCATCTATCTAGCTATCGAGTTAACTAGCTAGGGAGCTAGACAGCTAGCTCCCTTGCTAGATACATCCGTACCTGCATGTAAACAATACATCTTTCCTCATCCTGGGACTACTTTGCATTTTGTGAGATGCCTTTTTGTGACAGAACTACTTTCCATGGACAATCACCCTGAAGTCAAGGCGTTCACGCTTGAACGATGCTTTTACAAGGATTATTTCCTTTGTTTCTGAAGAGGCGGCCCAGTTGGATTTCCACACAGAGCAGCAAGTTAAAGTGGTGAAAACCTGACTTCAAGATGGAGGAAACCTTTGAGGACAGAACCAAAATGACCAGCCAGCTGGCTCTCTACGTCTCCAACGGAGAGATTAGCGGTAAACGCCGGCGTGGCATCTCAACTCTCAAGGTATCTGTTGAGGTTTTCAAAAAAAAAAAAAAATGCCAGCAACATTCACTTGACTGACTTTCAGACCATTTGTATGTGTATGTGACAGCATTTGGGTGAGAATGTGGGTATGAGCAAAAATCCATTCATGTTTGTCTAGATGTTTATCGCGGCGCTGTCCTTCGCCTATTTCTGCAAGACCCTGGCGGGAACCTTCGTCAAGAGCTCCATCACGCAGCTCGAGAGACGTTTTGACCTCTCCAGCTCACGCGTCGGCCTTATCGACGGCAGTTTTGAGCTGGGTAAAACTACATACGGACACTTTAACCTTTTCATGCACCAAAAATGAGAACCGGTAACCTGATAACATGATAAGCTGTCCACTGTAGTCACCGCTGTGCCCGTAAGGGTTACATTTTGTTGTGCTGTGTGGTGACACGCGAACCACAGGGGCATAGAGGTAAGTAAATCAAATCACAGCAGTTACAAAGAGAAATCAATGCCTCCGTTCCATCTCGACTGCATTACTTTTATTTTGGAGTCAGCCAGTCCACCCCTTGAAATGTATCTGCTTGCCTCCTAACTGGATGCAATTTTTATCGCCCTATTTTCCTGGAGGAAGGCAACTTGCTGTTTCTAGCCGTGGTCAGCCATTTCGGCGCCAAGATGCACCGGCCCAGGCTCATTGCGGCGGGATCGGTCCTCATGGCGGCGGGAGCATTTCTCACCGGACTGACACACTTCTTCATGGGACCGTAAGAAAATTCATGCAGTCGACACTCAATGGAAATGAATAAAAAGAAATAAGGACCCGAGACATTCTTTTACAGCTACAAGTATGATACAGTCATCGCCGCCTTCCAAAATGAAAGTATGAGCACCGTCACTTGTCTCAGTCCTGAAAATGACACGAGCCACTGGAACGAAACGGGTGCACAAGGTACAGCCCCCTTGGGGATTCACTTTTCTTTTTACTCCCACTGAGCACAAGCGGCAACTTTTCACAGAAGCCACACTTGTAACGCCGAATGAAGCTTCTTAGAGACGAGGGAAGGTAGCTAGCAAACATTTCCTGTGGAATGTGAAAACCTCAATATCCGAATGATGGTAAGATGCAAAAAGAGATATGGACAAACTCAAAATGCTGGCGACGTTTCAACACTTCCAGGAATGTTCTGCCAGACTTGCTGTTGTACAAACACACACCGACGCTGTTATTTCTGAAGGCTTCTTCTCAGATGGAGTTCATGATGCTATCAGTATGACTATCAACAGACTATCATTTATCTTTGACATTTTTTATACCGCTTATCTTCATTCGGGCTGTGGGTGCAATGGCATACCGCGATTTGCCTTCTCCAGTATCAAGACATGTTATCATTATTTAATCACTCCCTTAGATACTTGAGCTGCCAAGTGGTTGAAATACTTCGTAGCATCTACGCTAAAGGTGCCTTCTCGGCAGCACGTGTGTACCATCACTGATTTTCATTGAGAGTAATGTCGGCGCTATTTGTCTGTCACAGCTGGACAGCTGGGCGTTTGTTTTTTGCGCCTGTAATGGGCAGCATTTTTCACAGCCCCATTTTGTTTAGCGGAGATGTCGGCGCTGTTGGACAGTTTACGCTGGTGCAGTCGGATGGATGGCTTGCGTATTTGGAATTGGAATTGTGAGTCGCCGCTTGGAATTGAAATGGATTTACATCGAACAGGAGAAGTGAAGGAATCTCTTTTTCCATCAATGAACGCTACAGCTTCTTGTTTACTTTCACTCGTCCTTTTAATCCGCACAACTCCCGGACTGAAAAAAATGCAAAACTAATCAAAATGGATGCGGCGTTTGAAAATTAACTGTACAAATACATTCCAGGTGGACATTCATGGGGTTGATCACCGGTCTGTACTTCTTGTCGAACATGATGTGGGGAGGTCTGTATCGCAAACTTGTCCAGAGGCAGAAGAAGTTAGCATTGAGGGAGCAAGCCAAAGAAAAAGGACTCGAGGAGAATGGAGTGAATGGACACGCTAATATCAATATAGCCCAAAATAAAGACAACACAGACAAGGAAAGTACCATTTAACAAATGCCCCAAAGGGTATTTTCGGATCCTCTTATCTGTTATTCGCTGAAAAAAAAAGCATTCACAATGCTGCTTTGGCGCCATCTTTTGGCATATCGGTCGTAGTTTTTAGCCGCCCTCTTGTGGCATCTATCTGCTATTACAAGGCAGTATCAACCTTTTTCGAGGGGCTGCTGTTACTTCACTGAACTACTTTAAGTCAAAGGGGACTAAGTAACTCTAACAAGAGCTTCTTTTTATGTTTTGTGTTTTGTATTGAAAAGGATTGTACCGGGGAAACGAGCAAAGTGGTTAAATATAACAAAATGGGGAAGTGCGAGCGATCAAAATTGCGTCATACCATTCAGTTACAGCTTCTGACTTTCTGTGTGTCCTTGCGCACAGAACTGTTACATCACATCATTATACAGGCCCGAGTGAGTCAATACTTCTGGAACAGTTTGATCATCACCGAGCATTTATGTAGCCTCATTGATCATCTCGAATATATATCTTGAGTCAAGTGTATTTGTATAGTGATATCCCTTCATGTTTTGTACGATTGTATGAATTGTTTCACTGTTTTTTCCACATTGTTTTTAATTTCATCATAAACGTACTGGCCCACGAAATGAGACGCGCCATCAAACTTTGGCACATTTTGTTTGTTTTGGCTTTGTCTTCTTATTTTACTTCATTGTAATTTGTTAATGGCCAGAGTGACTCACTTTATTGGTTTACAGGAGTGTCGAGACGACAAGTTATTGTGCTTTTGAATATTTGCAGTGCCACATTCCACCAGCAGTGGGGGCACTAAACCTAAATATCTTCACCTCTTCTTTCAAGACTCAATGCTTTGGTACTGTCAATAGAACTCAAATTTAAAGATATAAACAGATTTAAGTGAGTAAATACCCAATATGACTTTTTTTAATGAGTATTTTAGAAGAGCGTTACGTGTGTCAACTTTACTTTCTTGTGTGAAAGCGCTGAGGAATGTGAAAATTCTTAATCCTAATCTTGGGATTTTTGGAAGCCAAAGCAGATTTTGTGGTTGCTAGTCAATGAAGGGTCACGGGCGGATCGGGAAACAATGAAAGAGTAAAAATGAAGGATCATACAAACACACGTAGGAGGTTACATCCAAACCATTAGGAACAGAAGTCATCGAGAGATCACAAGCGCAAGATCTGCACCTATAAAAATGAACTCTCCTGCTAAAATGAATAGTATGGAGGCGTCAAAAAAAAAAGGGTAAATGATGTGTCAGTGGATTTACAGTATTCAAGTTATTACTCATCTTAAACTGAAATCCCAGTGCAGTATAAAAATAGAGAAGTTATTGCACAAAAGGGCCTGGTCTGAAATTCCTTATAATCAGGATGCTCCACCTCTCCTCACTTGTTGCTCTGCCCTCCTGGAGGCACTTGCATGCATACGGAATAAAAATGTGCACGGCCTTTTGTCCCGCGCCACAAGCTGCAGGATAGCAAGTCTGGCTCAGCAGGTCTGTTTTTTTTTGTTTTTTTTTTTCACCCCGCGATGGCCGGTGGCCTCGACAGGAGGGAAGAGTCCCCCGAGACGGGCCTGAGGATGCACTAGGTACTGGATTCCACTTGTTCATTTGTTCATTTATTTCTATACATGCCATTTTTATGACCGATAAGTTAATGTGACATGTTCAGATTTGGATGAATTTGATTAATAGCAGTGGAAAAACAAACACGTGTTGATTAGTGGATTGATTTTTATGGGCTCAGTTTTAGAAAAAAAAAAAGTCATGTCAAATTTCAGTGAGATACTCAGAGAAACACCTGTGGTGTTGACGGAGATGTCGCAGTGGTTTTTCAGGTTATTCCGTAAAATGAAATCAACATGAGGGATGGCTCCTGCTACTGTACAGGACCAATCAAACATTTGGAAACACCCTCTGATTCGGTATTAATCACACTAAAATATGTTTTATATATATTTTTTAAAAGTAGGTACCTTTTGCCCAGATGACAGCTTTGGAAATATTTGTATTTTCTCTGTCAGTTTGATGATGTGGATGATGATTTGTGACCCGGAATGAGCGGATGGTTCCTATATGTATATGAAGTTCCTATAGTGAAGTATGGAGCAAGGCTATTTGAGCAAGACGGAAGGTGATGGAGCGCTTGGTCGAGCGATGTGGCCAATCCCCTGATCTAAACCCAGTTGAAATGGTCGGGGGAAGAGTTGAACGGCAGAGTGAAATCAAAGTAGCCAACGTGTGCTTAGTACATCTGGGAACTCCTTAAAGACTGTTGGAGAACCATTTCAAGTGGTTTCCTCATGGAAGGGATTGAGAGGACGCTAATTAGTTTGCAAAGCTGTAATCAAAGCAAAAGATGCCTACTTTGCAAGTTCTGAAATGTAAAACATGTTGGTTTGAAGAACATTTGTAAGTTTAGTAAATTATTCCTTAGCTAATTAGCTAGCTAGCTATCAACTAGCTAGTTAGCTAGCTACACAGCTATCCATCTATCTAGCTATCGAGTTAACTAGCTAGGGAGCTAGACAGCTAGCTCCCTTGCTAGATACATCCGTACCTGCATGTAAACAATACATCTTTCCTCATCCTGGGACTACTTTGCATTTTGTGAGATGCCTTTTTGTGACAGAACTACTTTCCATGGACAATCACCCTGAAGTCAAGGCGTTCACGCTTGAACGATGCTTTTACAAGGATTATTTCCTTTGTTTCTGAAGAGGCGGCCCAGTTGGATTTCCACACAGAGCAGCAAGTTAAAGTGGTGAAAACCTGACTTCAAGATGGAGGAAACCTTTGAGGACAGAACCAAAATGACCAGCCAGCTGGCTCTCTACGTCTCCAACGGAGAGATTAGCGGTAAACGCCGGCGTGGCATCTCAACTCTCAAGGTATCTGTTGAGGTTTTCAAAAAAAAAAAAAAATGCCAGCAACATTCACTTGACTGACTTTCAGACCATTTGTATGTGTATGTGACAGCATTTGGGTGAGAATGTGGGTATGAGCAAAAATCCATTCATGTTTGTCTAGATGTTTATCGCGGCGCTGTCCTTCGCCTATTTCTGCAAGACCCTGGCGGGAACCTTCGTCAAGAGCTCCATCACGCAGCTCGAGAGACGTTTTGACCTCTCCAGCTCACGCGTCGGCCTTATCGACGGCAGTTTTGAGCTGGGTAAAACTACATACGGATACTTTAACCTTTTCATGCATCAAAAATGAGAACCGGTAACCTGATAACATGATAAGCTGTCCACTGCAGTGACCGTTGTCCTCGAAAGGGTTAAACTTTTCTTGTGCTGTGTGATGACACATGAAGCACAGGGGCATTGACGCCTAGCCAGAATGCTAAAGTAAATCAAATCACAGCAGTTACAAAGAGAAATCAATGCCTCCGTTCCATCTCGACTGCATTACTTTTATTTTGGAGTCAGCCAGTCCACCCCTTGAAATGTATCTGCTTGCCTCCTAACTGGATGCAATTTTTATCGCCCTATTTTCCTGGAGGAAGGCAACTTGCTGTTTCTAGCCGTGGTCAGCCATTTCGGCGCCAAGATGCACCGGCCCAGGCTCATTGCGGCGGGATCGGTCCTCATGGCGGCGGGAGCATTTCTCACCGGACTGACACACTTCTTCATGGGACCGTAAGAAAATTCATGCAGTCGACACTCAATGGAAATGAATAAAAAGAAATAAGGACCCGAGACATTCTTTTACAGCTACAAGTATGATACAGTCATCGCCGCCTTCCAAAATGAAAGTATGAGCACCGTCACTTGTCTCAGTCCTGAAAATGACACGAGCCACTGGAACGAAACGGGTGCACAAGGTACAGCCCCCTTGGGGATTCACTTTTCTTTTTACTCCCACTGAGCACAAGCGGCAACTTTTCACAGAAGCCACACTTGTAACGCCGAATGAAGCTTCTTAGAGACGAGGGAAGGTAGCTAGCAAACATTTCCTGTGGAATGTGAAAACCTCAATATCCGAATGATGGTAAGATGCAAAAAGAGATATGGACAAACTCAAAATGCTGGCGACGTTTCAACACTTCCAGGAATGTTCTGCCAGACTTGCTGTTGTACAAACACACACCGACGCTGTTATTTCTGAAGGCTTCTTCTCAGATGGAGTTCATGATGCTATCAGTATGACTATCAACAGACTATCATTTATCTTTGACATTTTTTATACCGCTTATCTTCATTCGGGCTGTGGGTGCAATGGCATACCGCGATTTGCCTTCTCCAGTATCAAGACATGTTATCATTATTTAATCACTCCCTTAGATACTTGAGCTGCCAAGTGGTTGAAATACTTCGTAGCATCTACGCTAAAGGTGCCTTCTCGGCAGCACGTGTGTACCATCACTGATTTTCATTGAGAGTAATGTCGGCGCTATTTGTCTGTCACAGCTGGACAGCTGGGCGTTTGTTTTTTGCGCCTGTAATGGGCAGCATTTTTCACAGCCCCATTTTGTTTAGCGGAGATGTCGGCGCTGTTGGACAGTTTACGCTGGTGCAGTCGGATGGATGGCTTGCGTATTTGGAATTGGAATTGTGAGTCGCCGCTTGGAATTGAAATGGATTTACATCGAACAGGAGAAGTGAAGGAATCTCTTTTTCCATCAATGAACGCTACAGCTTCTTGTTTACTTTCAAACATAGGTTGTAGCAGACGTGTGCACATTTTCAGCCTGACGTGTCTGATCCACTGGTGAAAGGACATTTTCATTCTCTCCTCTTTCACCTACAACTGCTTCAAACAACAAAGCGTATGCAAGAAAAGTGGTACTTATGTCGAGTTTTGACTGTGAACACCCCACCATTCATTGTGTTTGTGCAGCCTGCGAAAAGGAGTCCAGTTCCAATATGTGGATCTACGTGTTTTTGGGGAATGCCTTGCGGGGAATCGGAGAGACTCCTGTTACACCTCTGGGTATCTCATACATCGATGACTTTGCGAAAGCTGAAAACTCGCCATTCTACATCGGTAGAAGACATTTCCTTCATCTCTTTATTTGAGCAGCGTGATCAAAAAAAAAAATTGATGGTTTTCACTTTTTCATCGAGAGATCACAAGCGCAAGATCTGCACCTATAAAAATGAACTCTCCTGCTAAAATGAATAGTATGGAGGCGTCAAAAAAAAAAGGGTAAATGATGTGTCAGTGGATTTACAGTATTCAAGTTATTACTCATCTTAAACTGAAATCCCAGTGCAGTATAAAAATAGAGAAGTTATTGCACAAAAGGGCCTGGTCTGAAATTCCTTATAATCAGGATGCTCCACCTCTCCTCACTTGTTGCTCTGCCCTCCTGGAGGCACTTGCATGCATACGGAATAAAAATGTGCACGGCCTTTTGTCCCGCGCCACAAGCTGCAGGATAGCAAGTCTGGCTCAGCAGGTCTGTTTTTTTTTGTTTTTTTTTTTCACCCCGCGATGGCCGGTGGCCTCGACAGGAGGGAAGAGTCCCCCGAGACGGGCCTGAGGATGCACTAGGTACTGGATTCCACTTGTTCATTTGTTCATTTATTTCTATACATGCCATTTTTATGACCGATAAGTTAATGTGACATGTTCAGATTTGGATGAATTTGATTAATAGCAGTGGAAAAACAAACACGTGTTGATTAGTGGATTGATTTTTATGGGCTCAGTTTTAGAAAAAAAAAAAGTCATGTCAAATTTCAGTGAGATACTCAGAGAAACACCTGTGGTGTTGACGGAGATGTCGCAGTGGTTTTTCAGGTTATTCCGTAAAATGAAATCAACATGAGGGATGGCTCCTGCTACTGTACAGGACCAATCAAACATTTGGAAACACCCTCTGATTCGGTATTAATCACACTAAAATATGTTTTATATATATTTTTTAAAAGTAGGTACCTTTTGCCCAGATGACAGCTTTGGAAATATTTGTATTTTCTCTGTCAGTTTGATGATGTGGATGATGATTTGTGACCCGGAATGAGCGGATGGTTCCTATATGTATATGAAGTTCCTATAGTGAAGTATGGAGCAAGGCTATTTGAGCAAGACGGAAGGTGATGGAGCGCTTGGTCGAGCGATGTGGCCAATCCCCTGATCTAAACCCAGTTGAAATGGTCGGGGGAAGAGTTGAACGGCAGAGTGAAATCAAAGTAGCCAACGTGTGCTTAGTACATCTGGGAACTCCTTAAAGACTGTTGGAGAACCATTTCAAGTGGTTTCCTCATGGAAGGGATTGAGAGGACGCTAATTAGTTTGCAAAGCTGTAATCAAAGCAAAAGATGCCTACTTTGCAAGTTCTGAAATGTAAAACATGTTGGTTTGAAGAACATTTGTAAGTTTAGTAAATTATTCCTTAGCTAATTAGCTAGCTAGCTATCAACTAGCTAGTTAGCTAGCTACACAGCTATCCATCTATCTAGCTATCGAGTTAACTAGCTAGGGAGCTAGACAGCTAGCTCCCTTGCTAGATACATCCGTACCTGCATGTAAACAATACATCTTTCCTCATCCTGGGACTACTTTGCATTTTGTGAGATGCCTTTTTGTGACAGAACTACTTTCCATGGACAATCACCCTGAAGTCAAGGCGTTCACGCTTGAACGATGCTTTTACAAGGATTATTTCCTTTGTTTCTGAAGAGGCGGCCCAGTTGGATTTCCACACAGAGCAGCAAGTTAAAGTGGTGAAAACCTGACTTCAAGATGGAGGAAACCTTTGAGGACAGAACCAAAATGACCAGCCAGCTGGCTCTCTACGTCTCCAACGGAGAGATTAGCGGTAAACGCCGGCGTGGCATCTCAACTCTCAAGGTATCTGTTGAGGTTTTCAAAAAAAAAAAAAAATGCCAGCAACATTCACTTGACTGACTTTCAGACCATTTGTATGTGTATGTGACGGCCTTTAAATGTAAAGTGCATGGGACACACATCTCATCACTTATGTTGTTTAGTTGACTGACTAGAAATCAAATGTTTATCTGTTTTTGTATTTCCATTCAGACAGATTGTTACATTTTAGTCTGAAATACAATAACACAAATGTCTAAATCAGGAACGGAGCTGGAATTGTGCACTGCACTGTGAGGTCTACACGCTAACCACTGGACCACCAGGCCGCCCCCCATAGAAGTAATATGATATAATTTTTTTAAAATGGTGTGTTGAATTTACTCACTTTTATTTCATCAGGTGGTTCAGATGATTCTATTGTGTCACCTTTTGACAAAATAAAATGCAGTGCAGTACATACAACACACCATGTTTTTCAAGTGTAGGTTATCATTGGGTTCACCGTTCCCCACTAGGGGGAAATCTTTACATAGTTTTGCTGTTGTCCTCCAGTCAGCTGTGTTTTCATCGGAGTAGGAATGAAGAAATGCTGTTTTTCTTTCCTACAGAGCTCTGAATTCTGAAAGGATGGGAACTTAATAATCAGCTGCTGCTCTGCTATGCTGCTTGTATTTAGCAAACTGATTCTATGGTGCTAAATTCAGGCCATAAGGTTTTAAATTTTAGGAAAAGAAAACAAACCAAAATAAAACAAACATAAAAAAAAGATTTGTGCTTTACACATCAACGATGTGGTAATGGAAGTAATCCCAAAGTCTGAAATCACAAGACATAACAGTAAAAATCTGAAAATGTAAAAAAAACAACTTTTAGAATTAAAATTATTTATTAAAACAAAACAAAAAAAAATCTATGCATTTTCTTTGACTTAGATGGGTTGTCAAAAAACAACAACAACAAAAAGTTGGAACTATGTGTACATTGCAAAATTTGATCAGCTTTTAAAATTCAAACCTGATTGTATCATGACACTCAGAGAGAACCGAGCATCCCTTGATTGCCGATCTTTTCCATTACTGGTTCTTTTCTGTTGAGGCATATTAAAAATAACATGAACAAAAACAAGAAATGGAAAGATTTATTTCGTGTTTACACTGTGGTCAAAGGCACAAAAAAAATAAAATAAATCTGAAACTTTGCAACGACTACGCTCCATTATTGTATTGGTTTCTGCACATAGATGCTTGTATGATGTGATCAGCATTTATTATTTTCTGATTGTTTACATTATTCATTAATTTGAAATTATAGAAAGATAGATAGAGTGTCGGCATGGAGCGCGGACGCGCATTTGGAACTGAGATTCGGCGCTTGGAATTGAAGCAGAATTACACGGGACAGGAGAAGTGAACCAGTCCCTTTTTTCATCACTGGATGCTACAGCTTCTTGTTTACCTTCAAACATAGCTTGTAGCAGTCGTGTGGGACGTCATGCACGTTTTGAGCATGACCTCTCTGATCCACTGGTGAAAAGACATTTTCATTCTCTCCTCTTTCACCTACAACTGCTTCAAACAACAAAGCGTATGCAAGAAAAGTGGTACTTATGTCGAGTTTTGACTGTGAACACCCCACCATTCATTGTGTTTGTGCAGCCTGCGAAAAGGAGTCCAGTTCCAATATGTGGATCTACGTGTTTTTGGGGAATGCCTTGCGGGGAATTGGAGAGACTCCTGTTACCCCTCTGGGTATCTCGTACATCGATGACTTTGCGAAAGCTGAAAACTCGCCATTCTACATCGGTAGAAGACATTTCCTTCATCTCTTTATTGGAGCACCTTGATCAAAAAAAAAAAAATTTGATGGTTTTCACTTTCTTGTTTGGCAGCTTGTATCCAGACCATTGCTCTCCTAGGTCCTGTATTTGGCTACCTCCTCGGGTCCTACTGCGCCAATCTATATGTTGACGTTGGATATGTTGATATGGGTGAGTCTCAAGTGTTTCCATACCAATGCTAATTGTGACGTGATCATAGTGGCATTAACAAAGTGGATTCAATTGGGCAAACCGTTATGACCGAAACCATATCAAGACGTCAAGAATAACGGTTTACACCACTTTTGTTGAAGTTACTGTCATGACGGGTTTGGTCATAATGCTTACAATATCCTTCTTATTTATTACAAATGAGAATTTTAAATTTTGGTTGAGATTTTAGCTAGCATTATGGAAGTTGACATACAGTTTACTTACTTTTATTTTCCTTTCATAATTTTTGTTTGCATTTTGTCATCTGTTATTGTATGTTTTATATATGTTCAATAAACAAACAAACAAACAAACAAACAAACAAACAAAAGTTCACATGTTTGATTTGCTTTTGCGGGCCACATAAAATGAGGTGGCGGGCCGGATCCGGCCCCCGGGCCTTGAGTTTGACACCAGTGGGTTACAGGTTGTAATTATTGGTGCATCAAAGGGTTTTAATCACGTTTGCTACAGCAACAACTAGACTGCTTTATTTCAGGCTGAGCAGGATCCTGATTAAACACATCAATATACTAAATGTGTCCCAAAACTCGGGACACTGAGACACCTCATTTTTTTAAGGCCTCCTCCATTGTCCTCATGTTATTACCTATAAATAAATCCGGCAAACTGGGACTAAATGGCTAGGCAAGCCCCTCTTCATTGAAGTCCCTGCCTCTCATCAACACACGATGAACGGGTTTGACGACAGCTAAGTGCAGTGTGAAAAGGACGTAAGGCTCAGGCATCATATGGTATATACAGTGGCACCTCGATTTACGAACGTCTCTTCATATGAAATTTTCAAATTACAAAACATCTCAACAGGAAAATATTGCCTCTTGTTACGAAAGAAATTTCAACATACGAAAGGTATAGATATAGTCTGGCTCGCTATTCGCAACTCGGAGTTTCCTGAATGCAACATACTCGTAGCTGCTCTGCCATTGGCTATTACCGAGCATCATCCTGGCATCCCATTGGCTAAGATGGACTTCGATGTGTCTTTGTGTGTAGATTGGATAGTTAGGTGTCGATGCAGCGTCCTCGTCATTCGCCCAGGAGGTGTTCCAATGGTTTTGTGAATGTGAATCACCCAAAAAAAGTGTTCACCAGTCGGGCGATCGCTCACTATGCTGATGTTTGCTTTGGACATTTTCGAAAGGATTGTTAAAAGCCGACAAAAGCAAACATCCTTGGATCAGTGTTTTACAAAACGCCAGGCAAAAAACACTTCTGAGAGAGAGAACATGGACTAAAGAGGGCAAAAAACGATGAGGACGCAGTTAAAAGTTAAATGACCGTCATTTTTATTCTTTAATCCATTCTTTGTTTTTTTACATTATGCACAGCTCTCATTTATTGTGCAATCATCTAATTGTAATTGTAATTGTATTTGTTAGATATTTTGATGCATTTTTTATGCTTTAGAAAACATTTATGTCTGAATTTTGGGGGGCCTTGGAATGGATTAGGGCAGCCTTTTTTGCCCTACGGATCAGTTTAATGTGAGACAATATTTTCAGGGACAGGCCTTGAAGGTATGATAGATATATACAACAAAATAATATAATATGACCTGCATGAAAACTATGGTATTTTCAAAACGTAATAATAAACATGAATCATGACAAAAGGAACGTCCTATCTGGCCGCAACACTCTCTGGTCGCGATGGTAACGTTTAAACCTGCCTTCAAAATAAGATACAAAATGCATGAAAAATACGACTCACCATCGCGGCATTATAGGGTTGATACGTGGGAATCTCCCTTAGAGATAAATCCGTATTTTAAGTAGGACTCCGGGTATTGTCAATTAAATGTAGCTTTCTTTTTCTTGGAAGTCGTAGGCTCCTCTTCTGTCTCCTGGCTGGGCCTTTTCCCCTTCCCAAAGAAACTTTCCAGAGACGTTTGTTTTTTACTCATTTTGCGAGTTCCCAGGTTGCATTCCCTTCTGGTTCTTCCCCCGCTCACCCGATGTCAAAGAGGCCAAACCCGTACCCGAGAAGGAGAATCCGAATCCAAGAGCGGATTGTACCAACAACAAGCCCGTAACAAAGACAGCAGACGTTGCCAAAGGTTTGACGGAGCTTTGACTTTTTGAACCACAAATCCTGTATACCATCAAACTGAAAGCACTTTGCTTGATCTCTTGAAGGGTTTCTTTCCTCGCTGAAGCACCTGCTGTGTAATCCCACCTACTTCCTACTTATTTGCGGCAGCACGCTCAAGTTCAACTCCCTCGTTGGCATGTTCACCTTTAATGCCAAATATATCGAGCAACAGTTTGGACAGTCGGCATCCAGAGCCAATTTCCTCATCGGTAAAATGACATTTCTTTTGATGCATTTTTTTTAAAAACCCTTTCAGGGACAGCGGTCGCTACAGTGGACAGCCTATGATGTGATCATGTTTATCATTAATGGTGCATGAAAGGGTTAAAGGCACAAGTGTGGATCGAATTAGGAAAAGGGAAACCATTGGCCTGTTCTCACATCTAAAGGATTTACGGTCACGTAGCAACATAGTGCAAAGGAATTCAAATTCATTTGATGCCTCGCATAGTTGTGTCATGTCGATCAGATAAGGAAGTCAAATAACAGCGAAAGGGGAAGGACAGTAGAGAGGTGGGTTGCTAAATTGCCCACTTTAACTCCCCCTTTTTCTTTTTTCCTTTCCTATTTTTATTTGCAGGGGTGCTGACACTCCCGGCCGTTGCCGTGGGGATCTTTCTCGGGGGTGTCGTGATGAAGCGATACAAGCTCAGCGTTGTGTCAGGGGCTCAGTTCTCTTTCGCGGTGTCCCTCGGCGCCTACCTCCTCGTGTTTCTCAAATTCTTCACCAAGTGCGACAACATTCCCGTGGCTGGACTCACCACCTCATACAATGGGTCAGTACTTTTGGCGAGGAGGTGGGGGTATAGTGGGGATGTGGGGGTTTAGATGACGGTTATCCAGTACAGTATAAAAGAATGTTCTTTTTACCGTTCGCTGACAGGATGCCGGGAGTGTTACGCGGGGGCCAAACGCTCTTCTCTGAGTGCAACAGCAACTGTTCGTGCTCGGCAGACGTCTGGGACCCGGTGTGCTCGGACAGTGGCATCACGTACATATCGCCATGTCTGGCTGGCTGCCTCAGCTACAGCGGATACGGCAAAAAAACAGTAGGGCCCCCCCCCCTCATTGCTTTTTAGCCGTCGACAGAAAACACAATGTTGCCCAAAGGTGCATTCCGGAGACAAACTCCAAACAACCACAGATAAGGAAAAATCTAACCTCCTCCTACAGGTGTTCCACAACTGCACTTGCGTGTCTGCTTCCTTCCCGGCGGGCAGCAGTACATCCGTCAAACTGGGGCAGTGCCCCCAAGCAAAAAG